AAAAATAAAGAACTGACTGGTTTTCATCTATTCATTTGAAGATTTTGGGTGGTTTATGAGAGTCTTCATTCAGTGGCAATCTGTTCTGTAACTGTAGCAAAGTTCCGTTATTCAGTTTGTTTCTGTGGGTGTGTGTGGTTTTATGTCCTCTAATTTTGTTGTTGTTGTTTTGTCTTGTAGGATGCTAGCTTTTCCTGTTTTGTCCCCCCCCCTTTACCTCCCATTGCCAAAAGTTGCCTTCTTCCTTCCTTTTTGTCTTTTTCTCCTCCAGAAGCCACTTTGCCACTTCAGATCATGTGTACATTTAAGCCCTGTTCAGTAGTGAGTGCTCTGCTCCCCTAGATCATGTTTTAGGGTTTACAAATTTAGGGTGAGTTTATTTTTCTTGGTGGTAGTTTGGGAGCAATTTCATGCTTGCTGCTCCCTCTTCTCTCTTTCCTGCAGAAAGACTCTTGCTTACTGTGAATGACTGTGGCAGAAGTGTGAGTGATTGCTCACTGGGATTTCACGTTTTTCCTATTTTTACTTAAAGTTATGTTGAAGTCTGGGCATTCTGTGCCTTTTGGTTATGTGGAGGGCATGGCTTTTGTGTAGTTTTATTTGTTTTTCTTACTGTTCTGTATTGTTTATAGAGAGTAGATGGGGACACACATGCCCAGGTACCTGCTGCCTAGCTGTCTGGAAACTCTTGGGCAAGGTTTTAACTCTCCTGAGTTCCATTTCCTTGTGTAAAATGGGAATAAAAACTATACCTACTTGATGGAGATTTCATGAAGTTTACATGAGATAACATTTATGAAGTATTTAGAACACCGCTTATCATATAAATGCTAAAAAAATGTTAGTTGCTATTATTATCATTTTGTTACAGGTGTATAATTGTTTGAAAATTGTGAATAGTGTCTGATGTTGGCCCTTCCTGTAGTACTATGTGCCTCATCCTCTTCTTCCTCTTCAGGAACAGGCTTTAGCTCCTGCACCATCTGTTCTTCAGGGCTTACAGACTTCCTTCTATTTGTCATGCAAACGAGCCTAAGTAAAACCCAGGTTTAAAACCAATCTTCCCTTGACCCACTTCCCCTTCTCACTCTCTACCCTATTTGTCTACTTTCTGTCACAGAGCTCTTTTAAATATTTGCCTATACTAATTATTTCTGTTTTCACATCTCCCATTCTCCCCCCAAGCCACTCTATGTCACCTCATAACCTCTCTACTGAAATGGTTCTAACAAAGTTACTCTTGACCTCTGATTTTAGATCCAAGCATTACTTCTCTGTCCAGACATTACTCAACCCCACAGTAGCATCTGACCTGGTGAACAACTCTTTTTTGTTGCTGTAGTGTTGTTTTAAACTTTTATGAAATACTTAAGACATAAAAAGGCACAAAAATAATATAATGAACCTGTATATTTGCCATCAAGCTGAAAGAGTGAAAACTATACAGTTGAAACCCCCATGTATCCCTTCCCAATTGTATCCTCTCCTGTGCACCTAGGTGTAACTACTGTACTGAATTGATATTTATTGTTCCATTACTCTTTTTTTTTTTGTATTTTTGCTACATACTGTTTTTGTGGGTAAAATGTAGTGGCTTTTCATGTTTTTAACTCCCATATTAAAAAATTATTCTTCCATATCGTCTTTTGCAACTTGTTCTTTTCATTCAGCTTTTTTGTTAGAATAGTTCATATTGCCTTGCATGGCTCTGGAATGTTTTTTTTTTTACTCCTGTATAGTGTTTCATTGCAGGAACAGACTATGATTTATGTGTTATCCTGTAGATGGACACTTCAATTATTTTTACTTTTCAGTGTTACTAACAGCCCTTCTAGGAACACTCTTAAAATTTTTTTTTAATGTTTATTTATTTTTGAGAGACAGAGTGAGAGAGGGGGAGGCGCAGAGAGAGAGGGAGACACAGAAGCTGAAACAGGCTCCAGGCTCTGAGCTGTCAGCACAGAGCCCAGCTTGGGGCTCCAGTTCACAAACGGTGAGATCATGACCTGAGCTGAAGTTGGACGCCCAACTGACTGAGCCACCCAGGTGCCCCCTAGGAATACTCTTCTAGATATCTCCTTAGACGTATGTTTCTGTTTGGTGATACCTAGAAGTATAGTTCCTGGGTCATAATGTATCTAACTTCTTTGGAAACACCTTATTCTAGCTTCCATAATACCATACTTGTCTGGTTTTCATTTTATTTGATGCGCCAGACATTCTCAATCTCATTTTCTTGATCCTCATTCTTACCATACTCTTACATTATATTGTCTTAGGGTTTTGTCCTTAGCTTTCTTCTATCTACCCAACTCCAGCTCTGATCCACTCTGATTTATCCCCCATGCTAATTCCAGGTTAATTTTTATCAAATGCAATGCAGTCATGTAACTACTTTGCTTAGAGTCCTTCAGGGGCTCCTGCTGCCTTTGAAGTCCAAGATCTGTTTCACCATTAAGCCCACTATATATCTCAACTCCTACTCTTCTATAGAGGATTCAGAAGACCATCTCTCCTTTGGCTCCTCAATACAGCAGGCTGGGTTTTGCTTATAGTATTTCTTCTGTTCACTATTTTCTTTCCCCTCATTCCTCACCTGCCTGGTAAACTTTTGCTCATTTTAAAAGATGACTTGATGGTCCCCTTTTCACGGAAGCCTTCTCTGACACATTCAGGCAGAGTTAAGAAATTCCTTTTCTGTATTCTCCTGGTAATTTGTTATCTCCATTGGTTTATTTATCCAATAAATCTTTACTGATTGCCTACTATTGCTAGAAACTGTTCTAGATTTATTTATTTATTATTCTATTTTTAAGTAATCTCTGCACCTTGATGTGAGGCTTAAACTCATGAACCCGAGATGAAGAGTTGCGTGTTCTACTGACTGAACCAGACAGGTGCCTAGAAGCTGTTCTAGACATTGGGGATAGAGAGTAAACAAGACAGGTCCTTATTTTTAAGGAGTCTACATTCCAGAAAGTAAAAAAGAGATAAAAAACCAATTACACAAACAATGTCATTTCAGATCATGCTGAGTGGAACTAGGATAAACCAGACAGTGAGGTAACATGTTAGAGAGTGTATGTGTGTGCAGAGTAGGGGAGAATGGCATTCAGTGAGATGCCATTTGAGTTAAGATCTGAAAGATAAGAAGGAGCTAGCCATGCAGAGAACTGAAAGAAGAACATTCCAGTCAAAAGAAACAGCAAGTACAAAGTCCCTGGAGCTAGAATGAGTTTTATTTCTTTTTTTTTTTTTTATTTATTTCTAGGAGAGAGAGAGAGAAAGAGAGAGAGAGAGTGCGAGCGAGCAGGGGAGGGTCAGAGAGAGAGGGAGTCACAGACTCTGAAACAGGCTCCAGGCTCTGAACTGGCAGTCAGCACAGAGCCCGATGCGGGGCTCGAACCCACGAACTGCGAGATCATGACCTAAGCGAAAGTCGGACGCTTAAATGACTAAGCCACCCAGGCGCCCCGAATGAGTTTTATTTCTCATAGTTCTGGAGGCTTTGAAAGTCTGAGACCACGGTATTAGCATGGTTGGGTTGTGGCAAGGACCTCTTCCATGTTACAGACAGCCAACTTCTCCTTGGATCCTCATGTGGCAGAATGAGGGTGAGGGAGCTCTTGGGCTTCTTATTATAAGGACAGTGATTAATCACCTCCCAAAGGCTCCACCTCCAGATTAGATGTCCACATATGAATTTTGGTGGAACACAGTCACTCAGTCTAAAATAGAGATGGAGTTAGATAATTTGGGAGCTACTAACTTGTTGGTTGTTTTAAAGCTATGAGACAGGGTAAAATAATGTAGATGGAGAAGGCCAATGGTGGAGGTTTGGACATTGCAGAGTTTAGAAAATAAGTGGGGAGGTAAGAGGGAGTCACAGAAGATGGTAGAAGGGAGTAACAATGGTGTGATGCTGACTAGAGTTAGAATGTGGTGAAGCCACAGATATGACCACTGGATTTGACTCTCTGGAGGTTACCGTGACTATGAAGAGCACCTCTGGGCTTTCCAGTGGTCAGAAGGTAGAATGTATGTACTTACTTTAATTACCTGCTCACATATCTGTCCCTTCCTCTTGAGTGTGTGCGAGGTCTTTTTATTTCTAGGGCTTCGCCTATAGTAGATGGTGAATGACTGCCTATAAGCTTGAAGTGTACAGTGCGGTTTGAAGAGTAACCCATTGTTTCATCCTTATTTAGAATGCCTTCTGACCACTGACCCTTCCCATCAGTTTCTGTCAGTTCAGGGAATACAGTCATGTGAATAACAGCTTAAAACACGCTGAGAGAGGCAGATGCATTTTAGTAAAGGTTCACGGTGCCTCCTGAGGCCATCATGATATAGTCAAAAGGGCCTTCCTTGGTTTCGATTCAGAGGACCTGCCCCAAGCTATGGCCCCACTTCTTACCCCCCCACTGAAGGTGCCGGGGGCAAGTCCTCCTCCCTCTCTGGATTGGTTTCCTCAGCTGCCATATGTGGGGAATATTAACAAATTCTTCTTACAGGAGTTTTTGTGAGCAAAAAATGAGCTAATGCACAGGAGAGTCCTTTGCAAGTAAAAAAAATTCTCTGTAAGTGCTATTTTTGTAAAAATAACTAGATTATCCATTTCATTACTGACTTATAAAGTAGATTAGATCACAGTATAATAAAAATCATATTTAGGCAGTGGCATATTAATGGCAACAAGTTGGGGGAGGACATAGATCCCTGGAAAATGTGATTCTTCTCCAGAAATAATAGGGAATTCATATTTTTCGGTTTTGTTCCCTCATCTTTCCTGGAAAAATCATTCTATTGGAACCAAAGAGTAGACTCTTTGACTTTAAGATCTAGTAGTCTGTTTACCCCACTGTTGCATATGTCTGAAAGAATAAAATGTAGGTAACATTGCGTGGGGTTTCCCCCTTTTTTCTGCGTTGTTAGAGAGTACATTAACTCAATTTGACCAATTTTCTTCATGGGGATTACTCATTTCATTTTCTTTATAGGGTAAGAATCATGGTAAGAAGCTCCGAAATTACTATGCAGCAAACAGCTGTCCTCCTCCTGCCAGAATGAGCAGTGTGGTAGAACCCGTGGCCGCCCCAGCCACCTCTGTCCCTCCACAGGTGAGACGCGCATGTCAGGGTGGATGCTGTCCTGTGCACAAGTGGTCATGAATGAAATTTGTCCTCCGTGAGCCCATCAGCGTACAGTTGGGCATGTACTCCCCAAAGGTTCTCCTTGGTACTTGGAAGTCCTTGAACTGTAGTGCTGGATGTAAAGCTCGCCAACATACGTGACCCTAGAGATTTCTCGTTGGCTTTGGTTATGATGCATGAGATGAAGAAACATATTGCTACACGTACCTTTCTCTAAGCATTTCTCAAAATTCTGGGTTAAATGACTCTGAACATCTAGGCTAAGCTCTGAATGAAAAGAGAGGTACTTAAACACTTGTATCTTTATTACAGTTAATCCCATTGACTTCGTATTTTGCCTTCTAGCAAGGTCAGTTTTTTTCAGATTACCCCTTTCTTACCTCTATGGTGAGAGCCTATATACACTTTTTCTGGACTTTAGTGTAATGACACACACTTGAGAGCCAAGTCCTTTTACTGTTTGGTAGATAAAGCATGTGTTTGAGGCAAGATAATCGTGTACTTTAATAGCCTCTGAAATATAAATTGTATTCCTTCATCTGTCTTCGTCCGTAGAAGAATACATGGTCATAAATAATAATAACTCTCATCGAGCATTCACTATGCCAGGCACTCTGCTAAGCACTTTTCATGCGTTACTTCATTCAGGGCTGGGACCAAGGTGAGCTGAGGGATGTACTTGACTGAGGCACAGAATTAAGAGGAAGCCAACACATTCAGTTATCAAGCTAAATATTTTAATGTCATATTGTAGAAATCCAAAATTAATGTGAAAAAATTAGTAGTAAACAAAATGTCAACAACTTAAAGACGGGGCAGGTATTACTGATTTTCCTTTTGCCTCAGGCTACAGTATGAGTTGGTCTTTCATTGTTCCTGATCCTTTCTTTGTTTAAAGTTTTGATATTTTGTTTACGTTGATATTTTTTGTATTAGGTTTGATTTGTAAAAATGTTCAATTAAAATATTACTTACCTTGATTGCTGAGTTTGTTGATGCGCCCTTAAATTTCATGCCCGTGACAAATGCTTATCTTGCCTCATTCTAGTCCTGGAGCCCAATTGCATTTAGTGCTTCCAAGAACTTGCAGGTATTGGCCTTGTTACTGGGCGTGTAACCTGTGGGCCAGCGACATTTGTCTCACCTAGACATTTATTAGAAGCTCAAGTAAGCTAAGTAACTTGTCCATGGCATTACCTGTTTTGTCAAGTGGTGGAGCAAGAATTTCTTTTGACCTTGGACCCCTACTCCTAACCACCATGGCATAATTTTACCTGTCTGGATATCAGTTTTCCAGTATTTCTAATGTGGATAGCAATACTAGCTATTACCTCCATCCTCACAAGTTTGTGGGGTAAATGAGAGAAGGTAAAACAGAATCAGAAGACAGGAAAATACCCAGACAGATTTTCAGGCTGAGCAGTTTTCAGAGCCCTTACTCCTCAAGGCTCCTCTGGAATATGAGGGTCACTCCATCTAGGGGCCGTTTTCAGCTGGGTCCCCCACTCCTGATCAAATAGCTGTAGCCTTCTTTCACAGCATAGCCCTTTGTGATTTTTGGAGACAGCTATCCTGTCCCCAGAAAATCTTTCTGTCTAGGTGAAGCAATACTGTTTCCTTCAGCTGGTCCATGATACACTGCCTTCCAGACTCCTTATTATGTATTTTATTTTCCTCTAGCCAAAATCTAGTTTGTCTTTTTTTTGTTAACCCAACAGTGTTTATTGAATAGATACTATCTTCCAGGTACTGTGTTAGGTTTCTCTGCTGAATACAGTTGTCTGAATCTGTTGGTTGTTTTTCCCTAGCTATATCTGTAGCTAATTTTTAAAGTCTTTGGGGAGAAGGGCTCATTTGTAAATATATGTCTATATATCCCTTCTGCATTAGGAAGCAAGCCCTAAAAGCAATAGGCATTCATTGAATGCTTGTTGATGGATTCTGAATGGACTTTATCTTTCTGATAATGTGATTTTAGGCCTTACTTGTGCTGCCCTGACTCTTCTATACTTCTTTTAAAAATTTTCTCCATGGAGATAGCAACAAACCATTAACCAGTCTGATACATAGGTGATTGTAATACAAAACCACAATTATCTCTCAGCATTTTTTTTCTTTTTCTCCCTGTTTTTGTTGTTGCTTTTTTTCTGGAATGAATTATGTCCTTTCCTTACAAAGCCAAATGCTTGTGGTCAAACTGTAACCTTTGGTTATCTTTCAACACTTAGAGGGACCTTTGAGGGGAAGAAGGGAATCAACTCTAGCATTTTTATTTTTTAACTTTGTCTCTTGTGTCTTTGATGTCAGATGGGCTCCTTTAAGCCAGGAGGGAGAGTGATCCTGGCCACGGAGAACGATTACTGTAAGCTCTGTGATGCCTCCTTTAGCTCTCCGGCTGTGGCTCAGGCTCACTATCAAGGGAAGAATCATGCCAAGAGGCTGCGGTTGGCGGAAGCTCAGAGTAACTCATTCTCGTAGGTATTGCCACTTTCTCTGAGGCCAAAGTGTTGTGTAAGACTGACTGTCTTTAGAGAAAGAGTTGAAAGCGATCCTTGTTGAGAAGTCTCACTCCTTTACAATTTCTTTTCTCCAGGGAATCCTCAGAGGCGGGTCAGCGGCGGACCCGGAAAGAAGGGAATGAGTATAAGATGATGCCTAATCGGAGGAATATGTATGCAGTACAGAATAATTCAGGTATCCTGTGGATTTCCACATGCCTTGGCTACATTCTGCAGATGGTCTTCATTAGTTTTATTTCCTTTAATGGGAATAGATAGCCCTGAGAATTTGCGGTTAGCTAATTGTTTTGTTCAATTTGTCTAGTGGCTTTTCAAGCTGGCATTTATTTCATGTCCTATTTATTTATTTTTTTGATGAATTATATTATTTATTTTGATTTTAAATTATAGTTTATTTTTTAAGGTCTGTGATCATAGGCCTTTATACTTCTGGTGTTTGCCAGGTAGAAATGTAAAATGCATTATAAAAATGGGCTGTTTGGTTTAAAGTTGTACAGTGTTAAATCTCCATTTGTTGGGGAAAATAAAAAAACATTATAGCAATGGCTTTTAAGGAGGCTGGTGAATCAGATTTATTGGGGGAGTTTTTACAAAATACACATGCCTGAACCATGACTTAGAGATTTTTAATCGGTAAATTCAGAGTGGGACCCAGACATAAGTGTGGTTGGAAAATGCTTCCTCGGTGATTCTCATACACACCTTCAGTTCAGAACTGCCACTTTAGAGGAATGCTGTCTGCATTTTCTGATTATCTCCAGTAGGGAGAGTTGGACTGAATAGTCCTTCATTCTCTCCCCGTCACAGCCTCCACACATATCAGCAGAGGTAATTCATGTGACAGTAAATCAAACTAAAACCAAAAAAGGTTAGTTGGAAAGGCAAGAGAAGCATAGAAAAAAAAGGGACATATAGAAAGCACAATGTAATATGATTAATAAAAGTTCAAATATATGTCAGTAATTATAGTAAGTGTAAATTTACTGAAGTCCCGGTTTAAAGATAAGTATTATAAGATTAGATAAAAAATTTAGCTGAAAGGAAGTTGAGATAGCTGTACTGAGATTAGGTAAATATCAGTAGGGTTCCTGGGTGGCTCCATTGGTTAAGCATCCAACGTTGGCTCAGGTCATGATCTCACAGCTCGTGAGTTCACACCCTGCGTGAGTTCACACCCTGCGTCAGGCTCTGTGTTGATGGCTCAGAGGCTGGAGCCTGCTTTAGATTTTGTGTCTTCCTCTCTCTCTGCCCCTCCCTTGCTTGTACTCTGTGTGTCTCTCTCTCTCATAAATATTTTAAAAAATTTTAAAAATAGATAAAATAAACTTTAGGACAGATGGCAGTTTAGACTATGTTCGCTAGCCAGAATACAATTAAGTGAGAGGTCAGTAGCAAAAAATGCATTTAAAAAAATGCGACTAAATTTCCATTTGGAAATTTAAAAATACTTCTAAATAAGTCATGGATCAAAGAAGAAATCATAATGAAAATTAAAAATTCATAAAATCAAACACTAATAAAAATAGATTACACTTTGTAGGATGCAGTGAAAATAATATCTTGAGAAAGTCTTAAGTATTTCTTACAATAGAAAAGCAAAGAAGAAAATTAATAAGCAGTGGTCCCACTTAAGAACCCAGTTACATAACTGAGTATTTACCCAAAGAAAACAAAAACACTATTTTTTTAATGTTTATTTTTGAGAGACAGAGTGCGAATGGGGGAGGGGCAGAGAGAGACGGAGACAGAATCTGAAGCAGGCTCCAGGCTTTGAGTTGTCAGCACAGAGCATGATGTGGGGCTTGAACTCATGAGCCATGAGATCATGACCTGAAATAAAGTTGGACACTTAACTGACTGTGCCACCCAGGCACCCCCCAAAACACTTTTTTTGAAAGGATATTACACCCCTCTGTTTATTGCAGCATTACTTACAATAGCCAAGATATGAAGGCAACCCAAGTATCCATTGGTATATAAATGGATAAAGCTGTGGTGTGTACACACATTTGCATGCACACACACACACTTTATGGAATATTAGTCATAAAAAAGGATGAGATCTTGCTATTTGCAACAACATAGATGGACCTAGATGGTATTACGCTAAGTAAATATAGAGAACAAATAGTTGGTAGGGGCAGGGAGGGCGGCTTGGGCAAAATGGTGAAGGGGAGTGGGAGATTCAGCCTTCCAGTCATGGAATGAATAAGTCAGAGGATAATAGGCACAGCACAGGAAATATAGTCATATTTGTACTATAATTTCAATGGTACTGTAATAGTGTTGTATGGTGACAGATGGTAGCTACACTGGTGGTGGGCATAGCATAATGTAAAGAATTGTCAAATCACTATGTTGTACACCTGAAACTAATGTAACACAGTGTGTCAGGTATATTTCAACAAAAACAAACAATCCCACCCCCCCAAGGGGCGCCTGGGAGGCACAACTGGTTAAGCATCCAACTTTGACTCAGGTCATGATCTCATGGTTTGTGGCTTCGAGCCCCACATTGAGCTCTGTGCTGACAGCTCAGAGCCTGGAGCCTGCTTCGGCTTCTGTATTTCCCTCTCTCTGCCCCTCACCCACTGGCGCTCTGTCTCTCTCTCAAAAATAAACTAAAAAAAACCAAAAACAACAAAAACTCCCCAACCAAAAATACATTAGTTATAATTTGGTTTACCTATAAATATGTCACATTGCGTATTTTAAGAGCTAAAGAAGAATCTGTTCAGATAATTATAGATTAACTTTTTTTTGAGAGAGAGAGATTCTGAGTGTAAGGTGAGGAGGGGAGCAGAGAGAGAGAATCCCAAGCACACTTCACGCTCAGTGGAGAGCCTGATGCAGGCCTTAATCCCATGACCTTGGGATCATGACCTGAGCCTAATCGAGTCAGACGCTCAACTGACTGAGCCACCCAGGAGCCCCTAGATGACCTTTTTTTGAATGCACAGGCTAATAAATTCAATTTAACATTGTTAAGAAAAGTCAATTATGTAAAAAGAAGAAAAAAATTATTCCACCACCGTTTTTGTATATGTCATTCCCATCTCTCTATATACTTATTTTAAATAGAAATGTGATTATATTTTGTGATATTCTTGTTTCACTTAATAGCATTTTTAATTACACTTCCATGTAATCAAAGAGTTTTCATTACTTACAGCAACTGCATGGTTTTCCATTGCATTCATTACCATAATTGTTCAAATCATGTATTTGATCTCGCCTTTCCCCACATCCTCCCATAAAAACTTATATGAACACTGATCAGGAATAATGTCCTTGTTGACAAATCTCTATGCAAAAATTCTCAGTATTTTGTTGGGGTAATTCTTAGAAGTTTTGGATTAAAGAGTTAGCATAATTATAAAACTTTTTATATAATGTTTGGATGTTAAACAGTTTTTTAAAATTTTATTTACTTTTTAGAGACATTGCCATTGAGAGCTTGGATTTGGCTGTACAGTAACCTTCCTGACAGTAGTTGGAAGAATGATTTCAGCTTTTTAGATTGTACCTGTATAAAATTGTAATTTAAAAAAATCTGGGAATTTTGCATTCTTTTAAAGCTGGGAGTCCGTGAATTTTATAATTTGAACTTAGAGTGACAAATTACAGTGATATCAATCAGACTGTCATCATTTATTGAGTAAATATTTTGAAGTGAATACGCTGCTTTTATCTCTTGCTCTAGCAGGTCCTTACTTCAATCCCCGCTCTCGGCAGAGAATCCCACGTGATCTGGCCATGTGTGTTACTCCAAGTGGCCAGTTTTACTGCTCCATGTGTAATGTCGGGGCTGGCGAAGAGATGGAATTCCGGCAGCATTTAGAGAGCAAGCAACATAAAAGCAAGGTGTCTGAACAGCGGTACAGGAACGAGATGGAGAATCTGGGATATGTATAGTGGCTGTTACATTCAGATAGAGCAGCTTTGCCTGCCTGTTGTTTTGCCTTCTGTCAACATGCCCTGCTTTTGTGGTCCTTTTGATATAAGTACATTCCTCTGCTTAATGTTAATACATGTAACCTGCATTGGTACCATGAGATGTCAAAATTGGGGAAGGTAAAGAATGTGCTTCTTAGGTCATGATGCGTTTTCAGGTCAGTTTGTTGAACTACTTAGAGCATGTGACCTACCTACCCCATGAGAAATAACTTTTTATTTTGACCAAATTCTGGTCAATGAGTAGCCTGATCACTTAGAGCTTTAACTATTTGAGAATTTCACCTTCTATTGCAATTTTAGTTTTATGTACTGTTAAGAATTTTCTTGAGTTCTTCCTTCAGATAACGGTAAAAGCAGGTAAGCAGAGATTTTGGTTTCCCAAGGCTTCTTTGGAACCACCTCAACGCAATGCCTTGCCAGTAGGATATACTATTATAAACTACATTAGGGCCTTTCCCAGGACATGTTTTTCCCTCATCATGTCTTCCCATTATTGCAGTGCAGATTTTCTTGGATTCATACACTTCCAATGTGCTTGTAGACTTCCGGATGGTGAAATTTCATTTCCAGTTGTGGATTTCACTCATTTAAATGCCACCTTTTTCCTTTTTCCCCCCTTCCTTCCCTGCCCCAGTTGAATTAGCTTGTAAAATAAGCTCATTTTCATGCCCCAGCCATATTGTGGGCTTTCCAGGCCCCCCATTCCAATATCCAGTGAGTGTAAGATAGATATGCTATTTTTTACAAAAATATTTTTCAGATGGTTTTAGAGTTATTCACTGATAATAACATGTACTTGTATGATGGTCTTGATCTTATGATATTTGTTTTGGCAAGCTTTTTTTATAAACTGATCCTTACATTTTATTTACGTTCTTTCCTGCCTTGCCAGTTCGTTGGCTGTCCTGAAAAAATACTTTCATAAATAGAGAGGAATTTAAAACAAGTTCATCAAATTTTAGTATCATCATTTGCAGTAGTAAAATACATGAAATTTGATTTCTTTCTTTATAATTCAGCTTCCTTAAAGATAATAGAAATACATTATGGATGGCTTTGGTATCTGATAATTACAACAGTATTATTATTTGTTTTTTTGTTTTTAAACTAAGAAGCTCTAGTTTATGACTAGATTAACTAATGGAGTGCCCTGTGAACTTTCATTAGTTGTATTTTATGTACTTACTATATTTACATGGATAAGACTGGTGCTCATCCATACTTCTTTTGAAAGGCCAAACTCACCAGGAAGTTTATATTGAGTAGTATCTTTGCACTATGGTCAATTCACATTTGATTGCTTGTATTACTAATTAAAAATGAAACTCCTTTTTTCCTTGAGAACTCTGTAAGCAAAGAGGTGAGGAGAAGGAAAGTATCATCATCATTACTCTCCGTTAATACTTATGAACAATTTTTGAGCAATCTGGATCCTTATTTAAAATATAGTTTTGGGATTAACCTCTAGTTCAGTATCAAGCTGCCCTTCTATTGACGTGGTGGTTTTTTGAAAAATAGAATTATTTAGTAATGTTTTTCTCTCCAAAACAGAAGAATGAAATAACATTATTGAGATTCTATCTAGATCTGTGACTCATAGTATAATTCTTTTATATAATTGGTTAGTTTAGGGCAATTTAGAGCTTATTTTATTGGTCAGTAGGTTACTCATTTTGCTGCTAAGTATAATTTTTTGGTAGATTTTAATATAATAGTGCTGGCCACTTGATTCTATAATTATTTAAAAATCTCAGTTTTCCCTCTTTCTCTTTATGTCTTTGTGTGTGTCTACACACACACACACACACACACACACACACACATATTTATGTGATACCATGGAGAAGATTTCATTCGATCCTTATTTCAGATAACGGTAAAGGATTGTTAAGAATTTACAGTTTGTAAAAGTGGCATTCATCTACTTTCCATTTATCCTTTACAAATAAAATTAAAGGAAGGATTTTCTCCACTCTCCCCATTTAACAATCTCATTGCATTTATACAAAAAGCAGTGGACTTAAAGGCCTTGATGTTTTTCCTGGCCTTGCATATTCAGGTTTCCAGTCTCCCAGTGCCCTTAATGGATGTTATGAATGCATAAATGCATTTTCTTTAAAGAAAAAGTTAGATTTATAGTGTTATTTCTTACTTGCTCTGTTTTTTTGCACTAAAAAAGAGCTATGTGTTTGTTTTATATGACACTTTAGATACCATATTGCCTACAATAACTCAGTTTGCTCCTTAATTTCCAAACTGTAGGAAGTTGATAACTTCCATGATCATTTATAGAGGTTACATACACATCCAAAAAAAAAAAAAAATCACAAATCTCTATGACAGTGGGTTGTTTTGGGCTTGTTACCTTGCAATATTTTCCTCTGTTCCATAGGTGAAATAAAGGGTGACAGAGGTTGTCAGAAAGGAAATACCTAAATAAATACATCTCTGCATGGTACAGTTTCTCATATTCATGCATTCCCTGTAGACAGTATTTTTCTCCCTGTTGAAAAAGGCTGTTGTTCCTGCTGCAGTGATATGTGATCTCCATTGGTTTCATTTTGTGAAGTCCAGTCCCGCTCTGTAATGTGCTTTAGAATTCGCACCCCGTGCTCCCCAAGAGTCATGATAGTATCTTTTTATATGCTCTGTACAAGGATGGACAGAGGCCTAAACAATGGAAAACCTTTAGTCAAACAAGTAGATTTCAGTAATCATCTGCAAGAACTCATAACATCAGTCTCTTTTCTCTGTGAATATCTTTGTGTAAGTTGTCATTCAAAGTCAATGTTAGAAGATAACAATTAGAAACCCTTCTTAAAATATTGAGGGTAAGAAGTTGTAAAGGAAAAATTCCATGTTCCAATTAAAAGATTGGATTGCATATGCCTTTGAAGTGTTTTTTTCAAAAAGTTAAGCTATAAAATTGAGTTGCCATGTAATCCTTTTGACGCCACACCGAACAGAAAAATACTCTGTTGGTCTTGTCTTTGTATATTATGTACTGCAACTTGTAAATATGTGCATGTGTTTTTATTACATTTGTCTGCTTGTCTCTTATTGCACTGGATTCTGCAAGATGAATAATATTTTATACCATTCATTTAGAAAAAGTGACTTCTCCAGCTCTTTCATTGTTTCCCCTTATAATTAGTTGATAAACTTAGAAAACCATTTAGGATTTTTGAAACCCTGAGATTGAATGCAGAACCATGACTGTCTGAGATCATCCTTATGTTCCTCTGACTTAAACAAGCTGAAGGGAAGCATGAAGTCTTCTACCTTATTTTACAAGGCTGTTCTATAGAACTGATAATGCTTGCTTATAGCTACCTATCTACACTTTCAAAGAAGATAAAAGGAGAAATATATATTTCATGTTTATATATAAACATATGTATATATAGGGTTAAATCTTCCTCTGTAGATAGATTCTAAGGATTAGCGGTGGGATTTAGGATTCCTTCACTCCTGAATTGGCTGGGACCATGAGCAACGACAATTTGAGGACTGTCTAGTGACCTGTGTAAAAAAAAGAGCCTTACTTGTGTCAGGGGAGACGTGTACCTGCTATGTGGAGTATCCTCTACAGAGAGGCCTAGAGATGGTATATTTGGAACCTATTTTGTTTCCTTAATATCAGGATGTAGGCTGGAAGTGCTCTCTGAAGAACTTGGTGAGGTATATACTAAGACAATAAAGCTTCCTTAGAAATAGAAATATTTTGTCAATATAGGCAAAGGTTTAATGCAGGCTTTTGAACAAATGCTTGAAAAATATTCCACCTTGCAAACCTTTCTTTTTCTTTTTCTTTTTTTTTTTAAACCAGCCAAATCATTGTTCAGGAGTTTCATACATAACAGTTATTACTATTAATCTAGCCGAATGGACAAATAGCTATGTAAATAGCTTCTCATACGACGTTTCTACTGATAGCTGTTTGACCTTTTCTTCCCATTATAAATGGGAGGATCATTTGTAAACTCCCTTTCTGGGTAGCTACCAAAAAAATATACTGGCTTACGGTCCCATGTAACCCTGTCTCCGTTAAGCCCAGAATATGAGTGCCTTTAGCAAGTTTTAGCATTTCACAGAGAGAAGAGATGATAGCATTATTGCCATTAATCACAATTCATAAAACAGAAAAGCTTGGAATAGCAAAGGTCCATGTGAATTGTGTTCTATGTCTTTCTTTTTTTTTTTTTTTTTGCTTAGTGCAATTTCAATTTGATATTGAGTAAAATTGTTAACATTATTGATCAGGAACCATACACCCTGAAAATAAATCAGTTATCCCAGGCTGGCAATAGTCATAGATTATTTTTCACCTTAATCTGTGTTGTATTTATATTTAGTGAATGGTAATGTGGTGGGTTGAGAAGGGCTTGACACTGTTGTTTGGAAAAACTTTATTCCAGTGGTCTTTTCCCAATATCTCTATCCTGGAGAGAGGTGACAATTATTTACTTGCAAATGAGATGTGTGAAGAGACTTATGTTGCCCGTAATACTTACTGTGTTAATTCATCTCTATGGTAAAAGATCTTCATAAATCAGGGTTGAGGCCTTTTACAACACAAATTCCCTACTTAAATGAATTTAAAATTGTAAATTGCCTGGGTACTTTGAGTCTTTAAAACACACTGCTAAATTAATTTTATTGTAGAAATATTAACATTTTCCTTAACATGTTATTATGAAAAATTTTAAACATACATTACAGTTGAAAAAATTTTACAATATATGCACCAGTAAGTTCTACCACCACCATTTTACTAGGCTTGTATGACCACATGTCCGTCCATCCCTCTATCCATCCATCCATGGAGTTTTTTAAAACCTGTATTTCAGTGTAAACTTCAGACAGTACATTTCCCCTAAACACTTCAGCATAGGTGTCATAAACTAGAGTTTATTATTTAAATATTAATATTTTTAAAAAAGCAGTGTATTAGGTTGATAACCTGAACCAAATAACATGCATTTTTATTCTCTTGCGGACTTTAGCTTTCTGGTTTATGTTTTTATATGTGCTTAGCATGAGGGAGGACAGCTCCTTTGCAACCTGAAGTTTTCTGGACTTGGTCACTTTAAATGCTTAGTTGTCATACATTTTTAAATTCCACGATAAGAATTTTTTTTCTTTGCCTGTCTTCTATGATGTGTTTTTGCTGAACTATGCAGCTTCTTTAAAAAACTGTAAATTACCAATTGGAGGTTATTAAATCAGTGTATACCTCACTTCAATCTATTGCTGCTTTTCTCCATGATACCACATCTCTGTCATTACTTTTACCTGCTCTACCAGAATGTAGAGAGGAGGAAAGAGTCAAACCCATAGATGACTAGCAGTTTTAAACAATGCGAGAAGAACAGATTTTGTAGTTTGGAAAGTTGAAACCATTAACTTATTTAGAGCCTTTGAATTCCTGGAGAATTGTAATTGTCCATGCTTCCTCTAGCCATAAGTAGCAGGATCAAAAATGATTGTACTGTACATGAGTTACTGAAATTGTAAGCCTTAGTAAGCATCTTTAGCTTTACTCTAGTACTGTCTAGAAAAAATTTTTTTTGACATATGCCTTTATTTTTATGCCAATTTTTTTGTGGATAAAATCTGAAGAATTTAAGTGACTTGCTCCAGGCCATAAAGACGGAACCAATAAGTCAGAATTGAAACTTGACTATTCCTGATTCATATTCTCGTGCTTGTATGATAAGAATCATGGCTTCCAAAATAACTGAACATTCCTTTGGGGACCTTAAAATGAAAGTATGTACTTTTACTTGTTAGACTTTCATTTTTAGGCATTTCACTATTCTTCGGACTTAAAAGATTTTTTTTTCATGGTCATTTCCTCATTAAGCCAATGTAATTGCTAAAAACCTCATTTCACTGTTGAATACCAACTAATAATGCAGGTTTTATCAGATTTCTTTTTGCATTTAAATAACCTTCACGACTCCCTCCTAACTTTCTCTATGTAAGTGCTTAAGTGACCCCCTCACTAGTGAAAATAAATGTTCGATATCACTGATTCAATGTATATTCTCTACATGATATATTTTTTTAAGGAAAAGTAACCCCATGTGTCAGGATGAGTGATATCCTTGGGCAAAGCATATAGAGCGTCTATTTCTACTCTGCAAATCTGGCATTTATGGGAACAAAACTCTTTTGGAGCGGCTGGTCATTGTTTTGCCTTCTTTCGGTACTTGAGCACCTTTCTGTGGTTTTGTAAATCAGTATGTCATTTTGTAAGACTTTCTTGTTGATTCTGTGTTAATTCGCCTTCACCTTGTGGTATCCTCGGCTGACCATAATTTAGTTTGGGTATGGTATGTCTGCTTTGAAATGCCTTACTAGAGCATGTCTGATTCTGCTCTAAAGCATTCCATGTATCTGCTAGGGCAATAAGTTGCCTCTCTTGGATGTATGCTCTAGATCCAGAAGCAAAACTGATTTTTCTTTCACTGTTAAGGTTGCATTTTAGTGTAGTTATTGTTTTAAAATTAGAGAATAAAATTATAAAAAACCAAGGGAGACTTTAGAACCCTTCACTTAATGGCATGGCCAACTTTTAAAATTGCTTTTGCTATTTCACTAGAACAAGATCTAGTAAAGGATATAGCTAAAAAGCGCCAACCAGAACTGTATGCAATTGGGGTTGTTTCCTAAGATTTTTCCTAAATGTCATATAGGGGTTTAACATCTGTGTATACTGTTGGGGCTAAGTGCCAGTCACTGATTTGGAAATCTGTGTACTCTGGGGCTCTAAAATGGCAAAAGTGTCGCAGGATTAAAACCAGTCAACTGTGGTTTTACACAACTGTGAATTGTGAAATTGAAATTGCTCTTTTGGTTTTATTTTCTTTAGCATATTGAATATAGAAATCCAAAGGTTATTTAAAATTTACACTGCTTATGTTGGTGGCTCATTTTGGCTGTGTATCCTCCCTTATGTACTGATTTCTGATAAAAGCTTGACATTATTATAACAGGCATTTTGTGTTCAATTTAATAAAACATTTTCTGAGTCTTGTCTGCAAATTGTTTGGTGATGAGTTGGAGATCACAGGGAAAAGCACATTGTCAGCACTGAGGCGTTATTTTCAATGCTGACGGTCAGTGGCTGAAGGTTCCCCGTTCAACAGTCTGCACATGATCTGCCAGACTTCTGGAACTCATGCAGAGTACTGTCAGCACTTGGGCTTGTGGTAGAATTGACCTAGCTGCTCACACGCCTTCTTCCATACATCACTGGAGTTAGCTGAGCCTGGAGCAAGTTCTCAGTTTTATTGATGTATTTTAAAATTTATCTTCCCTTCAAATTCTAAGCAACTTTGGGCTTAGCGGGACCATAATCACTGCTTCTGAAAATAAACAATATGAAAAGGCATCTACCCATCAATCTTTTGGGTGTTTCACATATAATGTGCCCTTATAATTAGCTTATATATACAATATATTCTTGGGCTATGGTCATTTAAGTACTCTGGTTTACTGTATGCAATGTGCTTTTGAATTTAAATGCTCATTTTCAAAAGTAGATTATAGGCCTGGAAGGTGCTGTCATGGTTTGTTTAATCAGGATGCAAGACACATACACTTACTGTCGTGGGAAAAATTCTGTGTCTGCAGAAAAAAATGTTTCTGAATGAAGTGAATAAATCACATTGAATCTGTCTGTGTGTTGTAAAAATACTCAAGGCAGCACATTTTATTAAATCATCTTTAAGAGATTTTTAGCTTAAAAGAAACCTATGATAATGGGCATCAAAAAAGAGAGTCTTTAACCATTAGAGCTTTTTCAGCTTTTCTTTCCTCAGGCAATTCTGAAGCTTATTTGCTGAAAGTCTATTCAAGATCAATTCTGGGTGTTAT